AGGAGGAGGAGGAGGAGGAGGAGGAGGAGGAGGAGGAGGAGGAGGAGGAGGAGGAGGAGGTAAAGGGGCACCCAGTCATCTCATGCTCGAAACTTCCAGTTCGAAAGTCCCATAAGCGGATGGAGTTGTCAAGGTGAACACTAACAATCACACTCCCCTGCCACTCCGTCAAAACCTTCACCCCCATCCCCATCGTCTCCCTCCTTCTCCTCTTCATCTTCCTCCCCCTCCTCGTGCTCGTCCTCGTCCACTCCCTTCCTGACCTCCTCCTTCTCCGATCCTTCCCCTTCTCCTTCCCTCTCCTCCCTCCCAAACTTGAATTCATCTTCCCACCTCTTGAGTGACAACAGCATCATTGCCTGATGAGGAAAAAGGGAACATGAGCGAGAAGAAAGTGGTGGTGGTGGTGGTGGTGGTGGAGGAGGAGGAGGAGGAGGAGAAGGAGGAGAAGGAGAAGGAGGAGGAGGAAGACGAGGACAAGGACGAGGAGCACAGTAAGAGAAAGTCAAAGAGGAGGATTCAATGTCAGAGGCTGCTACGGAGGATAGAAAATCTCACAGCTCGACGAGCAGGCGATAGTCTTCGACACAAGACCTTCATGCAGGTCCCACAGCCTTGGAAGAGTGAGAAAGACGAGGAGAGGAGGAGGAGAAGGAGAGAGAGAAGGGAGGAAAGAGGAGCAAGAGTAGAGGAGGAGTAGAGGAGGCGTATGAGGAGTATGAGGAGTGTGAGGAGGAGGAGTATGAGGAGGAGGAGAAGGATGAGGAGTATGAGGAGTGTGAGGAGGAGGAGTATGAGGAGGAGGAGAAGGAGTATGAGGAGGAGGAGGAGTATGAGTATGAGTATGAGGAGGAGGAGGAGGAGGAGAAGGAGGAGGAGTATGAGGAGGAGGAGGAGGAGGAGGAGGAGGAGGTCACTTGATCATTCTGTCATATCCACCCGAAAATGCGTAACGCGAGTCCGGAGTGAAACCTGAGAGGATGATGAGGAGAGAGGAGAGAGGAAGAGATGGGAGGTTGAGGGAGTGAGGAGCAGAGGAGCAGGAAGGAGAGAAGAGGAAAGAAAGAAGGAGGAAGAGAAGGAGGAGGAGGAGAGAAGGAGGAGGAGGAGGAGGAGGAGGAGGAGGAGAGAAGGAGGAGGAGGCGAGAACACCGGCAGTGTAGATTTTGCTCTGATGTCCAGTCAAAGTATGCAAGATTCGTTTCGTCTTGAGCGACCACAAACGAACAGCGAAATCGCCACTGAAGTGAAAAAATTCAGATGCGACAAGAAGTGAAAGCAGAATTAAAGGAGGACGAGGAAGAGGACGAGGACGAGTAAGAGTAAGAATAAGAGTAAGAGGGAGAGGAAGGGCAGTAGGTGGTGGAGGAATTTACCTTGCTCCTAGAACGTAATTTCCATCGTTTGAGAATGCAACACACATCACTGCCTGCATCAAGCATTTACTGCTTCATTTCATCCCCTCCCTCTCCTTCCATTCATCACCTCCTCCTCTCCCCTTTCACTTTCCTCCTCCTCTCCCCTTTCACTTTCCTCCTCCTCCCCCACCTCCTCCTCCACCCTCAGCTGCTCACCTTGATTGCCCCTTGAAATGTTGCCATGCGAGACAGGGTCCTCGCGTCCCAAAGCTGAGGTAACCCTCAGCCTCTCGTCTCGTCTCGTCTCGTCTCGTCTCGTCTCCTCCCCCCCCGCCTCCTCTGATTCCTGCTCCTCTTCACACAGCTTCCCAACTTCTTCTCCCCTCTCACCCCGCATACGCCTCCTTCTCCTCCTTCTCTCCACCTTCATCGTTCTGTCGTCGCTTCCTGTCAGCAGCATGGCGCCGCTGCTGTTGTGCGCCAGCGCATGGATCTCGCTCCTCTCGTGCGCGATGATGGTTTGCTTTGCCCGCTGCGGCAGTCGACTGAAGTTCACGTGAGAAGAGGAGGAGGACAAGAAGAGAGAAGAGGAGGAGGACAAGAAGAGAGAAGAGGGAGAGAAAGGAGAGAAGAGAGGGAGGGCGATCAGAGGAGAAAATGGGGAGCGGGGTAGGAAGCAGGTGAAGGAGAAGGAAGTGGTGAAGGAGGAGGGGGAGGGAGGGGGAGGGAGAGGAAAGGTGGTAGGGGGTGCTGAAGCAATACAATGTGAAGAGGGAGAAGAAACAGCATTTATCTTCTTACCAGAGGAAGGAAACTGGCTCGCACGCAGCCATCGCCTCCTCCTTCTCCTCAGAGCTTGCAGGGACGTTGCTGCTGTTTACAGCCTCGGCTCTGCAGGAAGGTATCACTCCTGCCCTCCTCTCACTCGCTCTTCTCACATTCGTTTCTTCAGCTCCACCTCCTCCATCAGGCTGTGAATCTCGTTGTACTTGTCCGCCATCTGACAGACTTCCATCAGAAACTCTACAAGTCCTCCTCCTCCTCATGCTGCTGTTGCTGCACCTCCTTCTCCTCCATCTTTGTCCCTCCCTCCGTCCTCTTCTATCGTTTCTCTCCCTCCTCCTCTGGAAATATTTCTGCGTTCCCATCCCTGCTCCATCTCATCTGTTCTCGCCTAACGCGCTTTCCTCTCCCCTTTCCCCTTGTCTTCACCTGCCCCTTGAGCTTCAGCAGCTCATTCACCAGGTCCTGTTGCTCTGGTCAGTTTCCCTTCCTCGTCTCCTCGTTATCACAAAGTTCTCTGTCTGCATCTTGTGCAGCTCCGGCTTGAGGCGATCGATCTCGATCTGTTGAGCAGTCATGGCAAGATAGGACGGTGAAGATGTGGAAGAGGAGAGAGGAGGGACAGGAGGAGGAAGAGAAACAGGATGAAGAAGAAGCGAAGAGGAACATCAGGAGCAGTAGGAGGAGGAGGACAAAGACAAGGAAGAAACAAGAGAACTAGTTCAATACACCAAAGGACAGGAAATGTACTGACAGTTCGAGCTCCGCATTCTTCGACAGCAACTTGGAGAGATGCTTCTAAATCTTTGATCTTGACCTGCACTAGCAGTTTATCTCACATCCTCCAGTTGTCCCTGTTCTCACCAGCGCGGATTTCTGTTCATCCCTCATGGACCGAATCGTCTTTCAAACATGTGAATGCGCGAAGAAGAAGAAGTCTTCTTACATTCTCCATCTCTTTCATATCCATCTTCATCTTCTCGATTACACCCTGCTGATCCCTCACCTGTAAAATATCATCTCAGCAACTCAACGTCTCCTGCCGTTGTTTGCAACCTGCTGCGTCAGCTTCAAGATTTGCTGCTTGTCGTCTGCCTTCTCTCTTAAGTTTCTGGTCAGCTCGTCCTACATCACAATCATCGACAAACAAGATGAGATGAGATGAGATGAGATGGGATGGGATGGGATGGGATGGGATGGGATGGGATGGGATGGGATGGGATGGGATGTGGTTGGATGGCATAACAGTAACTAACCTGCATGCCCGCACACTTCTGACATCGGCTTCCTCCTCCTTCGATGCCAGAGGCCTGCACCCCCAGAAATAAGGACATGTTGCAGATTGAGGAGGAGGAGGAGGAGGAGGAGGAGGAGGAGGAGGAGGAGGAGGAGTGGAGAAGGAGGGGGAGATGGAGGACGAGGAGGGGGAGATGGAGGAGGAGGAGTACCTCCCGAAGCTGCCTCAATTCTTCAGTTTGGATTGAAATTTGTTTCGACAGATTCGCCTGCAAGTGTTTGAGGAGCTTCTACAGTCTCCTGCTTGTTCTCACTTGGGTGTTTTCCAGCATCATGTTCTCATTTAGCAGCTTCTGCAAGTTTGTTTAGACGTCACACAGCTCAGCCAACGATTTGAAGTACCGTTCTGCTCCTGATCAAGTCCTCGAAACTGTGAGCAGTGTAAGAATGAAATTTGACTGATGGTGGTAGTGAAGGAGAAGGTTGAGATGAATGATATGATTGATATGATTGATATGATTGATATGAATGATATGATTGATATGATCGAGATGATCGAGATAATTGAGACGATTGAGATGATTGAGATGATACTCACGGCGATCTCTCCTTCTTGTCTCGCATTCGAAGTTGAATCACAACGGAGTCTCGCATCGCTATGGCGTATTAGCAGCTTCAACCAACCGACAACTCATCAACCTGGCACGGAGAAGTCGCTTATGCCATGAGCAAGACTTTCATCCGCCATCGTCTTGTTCAGATCGTCTTGAATCTGCTTTCTTGTCACCTCGATCGAGTTCTCTTTGTGCTTGCTCCTCCCCTCCCTCCTCTCCACAAACTTTCCTGCAACAGATCGGCAGCTTCGCTGTCTCTTCCCATCCTCCAGTCCTCGTTCAACCTAACCCTGCTTTTCCTCCCTGTCTCTCTCCCTCGTATCCCGTGCTACTCTCATTCTCCTCTGCCTCCTCTTCCTCTTTGTTTCTCCTGATTGCGCTTTTGCTCTATTTCCAACCCACTGCATGGCGTCGACCTCACTCTCAGTCTCTTCCCTTCTTTCTTTCCTCTCCTCTATCTCCTCCTCTCTCTCCTTCTCCTCGTTCCTCTCCTCTCCCCTCCTTCTCCTCCCCCCTCCCTCCCTGTCCTTCACTCTTTGTGTTGTGATCGACTCCCGCCATAGCCTAAGGTGTCTGAGGCGGGCTGGTTTCCTGTGCCCCCGACATGCCATGCCGCGTCCCCTGTCGCTTCTCAGCATCATCGGGGAGCATCCAGCGACAAGTTTCGGGTACTACGAGCGACTTCATGCTGGAGACCTCTAACGTCATGTCCTCTCCTTATCCTCCTCCTCCTCCTCCCCCTCATCCTCTCCTCTCTTGCTCCCCTAACCCCCCACCCCCTCTCCTCCTCCTCTCTCCTCCTCCTCCTCTCCTCTCCTCTTCCTTCATCTCATATCTCCTTCCTCATCCCTCTTCATGTCATCTGCTCCTCGCCCCATCAGCCGCAGACTTCCCCTCTCCTCCTGCATCATCGTTCCCTCCTCCCCCCTCGTTCAGCGCTTCTCACGTTTCCTCATGTTGTCTGCCTCGCCTCTCGTCTCCTCACCTTCCATCCGTCAGGTTCGCCTGTGGGACTTTAGGCGCCTTCCTGTTGGCCCATGGCCGTCGATTACTAAGGTAGCAAGAGCAAGAAGCCTCCTCCTCCTCACTAGCTTGTAGGATTGCCAGCATCGTCCGGGTAACAGCGAGCAGGAGGCTGGAGGACGTGATCGCAGAACTGAGGTGAGGAGGGGCAAGCTAGTGCCGAGCTCGTGACTCCTTGCTGCAGGACGGCAAAGGATGCTGGCAAGAGCATCTCTGTTCGATTTTCATGGCTCGTCTTCTCCTCTGACTTGTCTCGAGGTCTTTGCTGTCTTCCGAGCTTTCGTCTCCTGTGATCTCCCGCTGCGTCTGAGCTGCGGGAAACAAGCAGCGGTCTACCAGCAGCGGATCTCCATGGTGAGCCCCGCCCCTTGAGCAAAGAGAGTCTGACGGGAGTGGCCCGAAGACTCCAACGGCAGACTGGTGGACCTCCTTGTTCGACGTCAGCAGCATCACATGGAACGAGATAGTCGACGAGACTAGCGAAGTTCCCTTCCTCCTCTGCTCAGATCCTGGGGCAGGATGCCAAACATGCGCAAACGTCCTGCTGGGTTGTGAGGTGAGGTGTGCCTGCTCCCGTCCCAGCTGACGGCTGGCTTGCCAACCAGTACGGGCTAACCAACATCAGCTCCAAGACGTACCGCGTCCCCTTCTACGGCCCTCAATCTCTCATGAAGGTGCGGAGCGAGCATCGGCTCGAGCACAAGTGAGAGCATGCGTCAGGTTATGGAGGATGCGCTCGTGGTCGGGCAAGAGGTCAGAGGCCGAGGGAGGAGAACGAGGCGAGTGAATGAATTTGTACAGGTCACAGCGGTCGGGGAGCTCTCCTTACAGCCTTGGGATGGGGCAGGCGAACGGTACCTGCGGGTCGTGTTGCGAGCTCCGACGGAGAAGAGCCTGGAGGGTTGTTTCTTGGTTGACGCGGTAAGAGTCTCCTCCTCCAGTCTCACCTCCTCCCTCATTTCCCCTCAGCGCAACGTGGAGGAAGTCGTGGAGGGTCTAGAGGCGAGTGCCCAGGAGCACATGCGACGAGGGAAGGTGCGAGAGGAACGGGAGGGGAGGCAAGGAGTAGAAGAGAGGGAGGGGACAGGAAGGGAGTGAAGGGCGGGGAAGGAGTAGTGGGGGAGGGAGGGGAAGGGAGGGGTAGTCACATCCAGCAGGCTCTACTCGTCATTGGGCTTCTCTTCCTCGCCTGGTCCGCATGGCTCAAGGCCCTGAATCTCTTCCATGCTCGAGTCAATCGCACCATCCATCGTCAACTCATCCAAGAGGTCAGACCAGCATCCTCACCCTCCCCCCCCCGCCTCTTCTTTTGTCTTTCATCTCTCCTGCGCTTCTTGCCCTCCTCCCACCTTCCATGGCCCAACTCGTCCCCTTGTTCGCGAGTGACTCAGCATCTGCTAGGCTCTTACCGGCAGCTCTCGGCATTATCTCCCACCCGATGCTGTTCGGCGCCTGTGCTGCCTGTGCGAGAGCAACGCTTGCAACTGCGTCCTCCTCGACTGCAACCACCAGGTAGCGTTTCTTCCTTGCAACTCAGCTCACAAGAGTCAGGTGTGCTGTCTAGAGTGTGCAGCGAAGCTGCAGGAAGAGAGAGAAGTAGCACACTGTCCTCGATGTTCCAGCGAAGTTCGGCAGGTCCTCAAGATCTACACGTCATAATCTTGTGCACATTCGCTTTCTATTTCAAGAAGTCAAGACGACTGGTGGTGGTGTCATGCGGGGAAAGAGGAAGCACTACAGTCGTTCCATCTCGATTGTATTCCAGCTCATCACAAACAACGCCCGAGAAATTTACTTTGCCCCTCCGAAAAAGATCACGAAACTTGAGATGTCATCACGATACCTGTCAAGGACGCGATCCGTTCAGCGGCACGTGGTGAAGACACATGGCAACTGAAATCACAATCTCACCCAAACCCGTCGCCTTCATGCTCTTCTGCTTCCCACTTCTGAGCTGCACCTAAAACAGAACGTAACATATTAGCGTTGGACGGTAGCAATGCAATCTTAATCTCACGATCGTAGATCGCCTGAGATGAGAATTACAACAAACAAACAAGATTCAAAATATTGCGTCTCATACCTTACAAGCTTGATCAGCATCACCATTGCAGGAGTTGACGACAGCCGAGACTTCTTCGTTACTCATAACTGCAGAGGCAAGTGTTATCCACTTGATGAGAAGATGGATGCTCGACCTTGCCAAACTCCATCAGAAGCAATGACAAGAAATCGATCCTTGGGTTTCACTGCCCTCGTGTACACTTCTGGATCTGGAAACACTCCTAGATCATCCAGTACGCTGTCCCCCAACGATCGGCTCATAGCTAAACCAGGAAAGCAAGAATCGAAGGGAGGCTCCCATGAACCGTCGGGCCAGAAAACTCTTGCCGGGCCCAGGTCAGCTCCTTTCTTGGCCGCCGCTTCTACTGAGATCACTACCGGTTTATCCAGAGTGACATCCACCATTCCGACTATCCCTCCATTCTTCTCGATCCTTTTCCTTTCATCTGGCCGGTCAGGACTTTGATCCACTGAGATTTGGGTTGTTATGAGCTTTCCACCCCAGCCTTCCGTACATACAATACATCTACAATCGCCTGCATTCGCAACAATAATTCGCTTCTGATTCGCTTCACCGGCAACGAGGACAACGATGCAAGTGCTTCCCGAAAGAAATGTGTCGAACTTCTTCTGCTCCAGCAGACTTTGATGCGTTTCTCTGAAGGCCTCCTGCAGCGGTGGGGTTGCTCTCCCTTCATCCATCCCTGCCCTCTCGATATCTGGCACTCGCTTTCGAATTTGATCGGGAAGATTGTTGGCTACGTATGCAGAAACCTTGAAAGCTACGTGAACAACCCTGTAACAGCAAGCCGAATACAGCAGTACCTTGTGGCCAAACTCTCCGTGCCCATCAAATATACCAAACAAATCCTTGAATAGAGTTTAACGACTTGAATAGGCACGAAAAGAATTTTTGGACTTACCATAGTTCCTAAGGATACAGCAGCCATTGAGTCCTGATTACTGCTTCCTCCAACCTTTCGCGGAAACGTTTGTGATCAATTTGAAAAGCAAGGACAAAGGAACAGCTATACCTGTGTACCCTTGCCTTTTCCTTCAGTACTCATTGCAGAGTACCATCCCCATCCCAGAGTCCCTGAACTTAAAATTGGCTTGCTCGCAGGAGGACTTCTATTCTTCAAGTTCATCTTGGCTACCAAGTCGGCATTGAACCATTCTCCACTTTCATCCAACATACGCTGATAAAGTACACCTGGTTTCACTCCAGAATATTGATGGCGACGACTTTGTTTGCATATGTTCACCCTTGCTGAGAAACACGTAGGGTGCGTCCTGTCATTAGTGCAAGAGGGTGCGAAGCTTGACGTCATAGGGAATGTGTGTCCCTCCTGAACATAACCAAGCAGATACAATGTGATCAAAGTTACTGTCCTTCTCATCCTTCTAAATTACTCGAAGCTATCCAATGCAGAAAGAGTGTAAAAATCAAGGAGAGCTTCTCAAATGTGCCTTTGCTCCAACAGAGCCTCCATCTGCAAGGAGATCCTCACAACTTGCACCTATAGATGCAAAGAGACTTAGAGAAACATGTTTGATTGCGCATTCTTGAAATCACTGGTGGTTTTTTTGTCCTATCTCAGCACATGTTGCACGTTAGGCCTCACAGCTACAATTCTAATGACCACAATCCAACCCAATCTATCCACATTAATACAGAATATCCTCTGAAACTCACATCATGATTATAGCTCTGACTCCTCTATTTATCAACATCTTTCTCACATTTACAGCTGGCAACGAAATAAGACAAATACGAGCTGTACATCAAAAAACTGTATTGCAAGGGACTGGTTGAAAGACTCAGTACAATCCGCCCGTTACAGTCATTGATGTACAAGACGAGTACATCATATCACTGAGGCAATGCTCTTCTTCTCTTGCGTGGCAGTTTTCAGCCTCCTTCCTTCAATCTCTCCGAGTAAATATGTAACAGTCGTAAGCTACATCCCTACCAATGCACTTGATGTCTGCAGCTATCATTCTTATCCTTAGCTTGACCCATCATTTTTGATACCAAAACATCAAAGTACATCTCGTTTCACCTGTCTGCTAGTAGCAGATCAACTAATATACCTCTGATCCCTGCCTAGATTATTTCAGGCGCAATTCCCCAAATTAGTCACTCTGCAACCTGCCATCGTCTATTTCTTCACAATACTCAAAGAACCGTCCTCATCCTCTTGAAGCCATAATTCTGAAGGCTTGGAGCCAGTCTCTTTCCTGTTCCTCTGCCTCCTCCATCCTCTCCTGCGCACTCCCTGCCGCCCCTGTTCATTCAATCCACCATCCACACCTACCCCCGGTGCCCACCCCCTTTATTGAACCCCCTACCCCCCGAATCCGAATTCACCCCGGTTTCCTATAAACCCATCACCCCATCTTGATCACCCCTACCCACTACAATACTGTACATCTGGATCATCACACCCGTATTGGCTGGGATCACCCCACCTACTTTCGTGTTCACTATATTCACCACCCGTGGTTTAGGGATGATGGCAACCTCGACCCCTGTTCCACCCCACCCTGGCCATTGTACCCCCATGTGATGTCAGCACCCTACCACCCAGTGGTTTGTACCCCTACCCACTCCATTGTAGAATGTACCCTACCCTCCCCAAATGCGAAATGATCATGTGCTCCTCATCTTTTCCTCACCCACCCTCCTCCACGGAGGGGCGACAACCCGGTACTTCGATCACCAAATCACCCCATGTCATAAACTACCCACCCCGGACAATCTTTGCTGGCCCACCACGTATCCGGACTACCCCACACTTGAAGAAACACACACCCTACCCTGTTCCTTGGAGATCCACCAGGGTACCCCCTCTCCCTCTTTCATTTGGATCAGCCTAATACCAAACCACCCCTCTTGATGATCTGAAATCCTACCCCACCCTTAAATCCAACAGGTACCCCAGAGATTTCTGGACATTTGAGGGGTAGGGTCATTTGGTAACCATCACTGATGAGCCTGCCTCAGAGTATCCGCCAGTATCCGCCAGTACCCGTGGTGAGTATCCGTGCGCGTTCGGAACATGGCTGGGCAGGTGCCCCAGCCGCCGGGGCTGCGAGATGGCGAGAGAAAGGGAGGAGACCCTGTGAGAAATGCGAGACTGAGGACAACAACTACCAGCAGCAGACCAGCATCATCCAACAGCGGTGAGTTGATGTTGATCAGGACCACTCGCCAGGTGCGATTGAGTTTCCTGCAGAGAACAGCCCAAGGTCGAGTAATGACGAAGAGAAAGGCTCTATGGCTGCTCTACAAACTCTGCTGGTGTGTGTGTAGTCATTATGATCAGTGCGAATAAGCTTCTATTTTGACTTTGTTTTGAATGCAAGGGCAATGCAGTGCATGGCTTGAGCACAAACGAGGTAGTGTTCTTCCCAAGAAGCAGGGACGAGAAGCGCGAAGATGAAGGAACGCGAGGTGAAATCCCTCCTCGCTTTCGGTCACGACAACTGATCGGTTTCAAAGCTCCTGAGCGATCTTCAGCTGAGAAAGGAAGCGCATTAGAGACTGGCAAGTTGATGGAGGAGCTGGTCAGAGCCTACAATGAACTAGAGCAGGAAAGATGTCGAAGAAAGCGATCTGAGGTACGAAAGAGGCTCGTTCACTTCTGCAGTGAGAGTGAGAGTAAGTCGCATGCAGCAACATGCTCGAAAATCGTTGACTGGATGCATCGGAACAATGTACGAGACTCCACTATTCAAATCCACTCCGATCTAGAGCGTGACTTCATTTCGGTCAGATCAAGTTTGATCCATCACAGGAGAACTTCGATGCAGCAGACAACCAGTTCTGCTCAGCGTGCCGAGGTCGCTTGCTCTTGCCCGTAGCGTCTCCCAACACGTGACGTTGCACTACAGATGTCTCTTGCCAGACGGAAGACATGGTCTGGAAGCAGGAGACTCCTCGAGGGTCAGGTATCGCGGCTGCGCAGTACCTTGGGGTGTGCTGTCTCTGCAACCGGGCACGAACTTCTCCCATGGCCTCCAAGGGGACTCTCACAGACGAGCGGCTCAACGAGACGTTCCTGTCCGACGGCGCGGATGACCTGAGGGGCCCTGAGCTCGAGCTGTTGGGATCTGGGGCTGATGCTTTTGCTGCGGAAGGCAGTCCGAACGAGAGGACGTCTCCTAGCGTTCGACCGCACACAGCCCATGCCTTCAGGTCCGATGAGAGCAGCGTGCCAGACTTCGATATCGCTGGTTTCGCTACCATCACAGACAGTCAAAATCGACCCATGACGAGGTCACTCAGACTCCTGCTGATTCCTCTTGTTGTAACTTTCCTTGCTTCCCAGTCTCGCCACACATGCTACTAAACAGCCTCAAAGCAATCGACCGACTTCCGCCTTGGCTCAGTATCGAAAGACTGTAAGCATGCAGCTGTAGGTGTAGGAGAAGCTGACGCCATGACAGGTCGGAGACTATCGCCGTGGAATCGAAGAACTACAGAGAAAGTTTGGTCTCATCAAGGAGGGGAACTTCTCAGAAGCGAGTTTAGATTCGAGTAGAAGCTCACTGACTACAGGAGATGAATGTACATAACTACTAATGAATAATGTTGTCCTCATGGTCCACCTGTGCCAATCCGTCTGCCGTTCAACGTTTCGAGCAGTTATGATCGCGTTGCTTACTTCAGCGATGGGCCTTTCCGAGTATGTCGAGGGATATAAGTTTTGAGATCTTGCGGAGACTTCGTACTATCAACCAGCGCCCCGCCATACGCCTGCCCCGCCCCCCAACTCCGTTGCTTGGTGAAAGGTGCTCCCCTCTGCTGGTGACCCTGGCCTGCCTGCCTCTCTCCTCTCTCATCATGCTTCGCCGCATCATTGCTAGGACTGCTCGGCCGCTGTTTCCATTGAAGCAAGCTGCTGGGCCGCTACCCCTCGTCCACCAGTCACTCTCCAAAGAGTACCCCTAATTTGAGCTAATATTCAAACTATTTTGTACCGTGGGTGATATCACCCCACCCACCTGATCCTTCCGAAGGACTTGAAACTTCCCTCCAAATTCTTGCACCACCCACCCATCTCAACTTTTGAACACCTACCCACCCTTCACAAGTACCCCTCATAAAGCATCTGAAATCTACATTCACGGGTACTTACAATTGAAATTGAACCGGTAGTACAACTACCAACGATGAACCAATACCTCTGAGCAGTACCCACCCTATCTCAATCTCCGATAAACTTCCCCTCTGAGGCACCTCACCGCCATGCTGAGCGATGAGGAAGCGCTAAGGCGAACGTACAGCCTGCTATGCCGGCTTTCAGCTGCCTCCTCCTCCTCCTCCTCTTCCATACACGCAACACATCTGCTTCTCCTTCCCTCCCTCGACCTCCTTCTTCCTCCTCCTCCTCCTCCTCCTCCTCCTCGACCTCCTCCTCCTTGTCCGACGTGCAAGAACAGAACTCGAGCACAAGGTAAGACTTCCGAGCAATGTTTCTCATGGTTGACTTACTTTCTTTGCCTCTTCCAGTAAGCACAAGCCTCTCCATCCCTTCCACAAACTCGGCGTGTCCAGCTTCCGCATCGCACAGGCTATCGGGCATCTACGACCGCAACAACTCGTCCCAGCAGTCAGCAGAAGTCTGCATGCGCTGGAGGCAGTAGGGATGGTCTATCGGACGTTCGATGACGGTCACTACATGGCGACCAATGAAGGAGCAGAGATCAGCGAGGAGACATGGCAGAAGGTCCTGACCATTGTGAAGGGAGGAGACAAGGAGAACGAGGGGGGCGAAGCTGGGGAGCTGGAGGAAGGGCTAGTAAAGAGGAGGGACGTGAAGACCTCAAAGGAGTTTCTGGGAGGAGAGCAGACGTGCCGATATTCAAGGAAGATCCTCAAGAGAGAATGCACTGGATATGCCGACGGTCTGTTCTCTGAGAAGATATGGATTCGCTCCTTGAGATCTTGTCGCAAGGCCCTCGTCCACTCCAGCCCTCCCTCCCACGTTGCTTCCTCCTCCCGCTTCACCAGCCTGGAGTTCAACCCGAGCTCCGAGTACCTGTTGTGCGGACGAGGAAGCGGTCAGCTGCTCATCTTCAAGTCTCACGCGACTTCGAATCGCTACGTGGATGAGTGGGACAAGGCTGGTCGCTGCTGCTCTCTCAACGCTGTGAGGGACGTGGAGGGGAGGAGGACGATTGATGCAGCGCACTGGAATCCGTTGAACCGCAACGAGGTTGGCGTGAGTTCCCGCGCAAGCGACGAGGTCCATACGTACGACATGAAAGTGTGCGGGAGCGCAAACAGAAGAAGGTAACATGTTTACCCTCCTCCTCCTCGTCTCCTCCTCCTCGTCTCCTCCTCCTCGTCTCCTCCTCCTCGTCTCCTCCTCCTCATCTCCTCCTCCTCGTCTCCTCCTCCTATCATGTTGTTTCTTCCCTGGCTACTTTCGTCTCCATTCATGACATTCAGTGGTTTAGATGCGAACCTACGACAATCTTGTCTCATCGATCAGGACAGGTCCTTGTCCCTTCCCTTCTTGCTTTGCCCGCTCTTCTCTCCTCTTCCCTCGCTTCCTTCCCCTACCATCCTCTTGCCCCCTTTCCTCCCCCTTCTTGGTATTCTTGAACCTCAACTTGCTCCACTCTCCTCCTCCTCAATCGTTCCACCCTCCTTCCTTCCTCTTCTCGTCTCTTCGTTCCACCCTCCTTCCTTCCTCTTCTCGTCTCTTCGTTCCACCCTCCTTCCTTCCTCTTCTCGTCTCTTCGTTCCACCCTCCTTCCTTCCTCTTCTCGTCTCTTCGTTCCACCCTCCTTCCTTCCTCTTCTCGTCTCTTCGTTCCACCCTCCTTCCTTCCTCTTCTCGTCTCTTCGTTCCACCCTCCTTCCTTCCTCTTCTCGTCTCTTCGTTCCACCCTCCTTCCTTCCTCTTCTCGTCTCTTCGTTCCACCCTCCTTCCTTCCTCTTCTCGTCTCTGCGTTCCACCCTCCTTCCTTCCTCTTCTCGTCTCTGCGTTCCACCCTCCTTCCTTCCTCTTCTCGTCTCTTCGTTCCACCCTCCTTCCTTCCTCTTCTCG